CCTGGCACCCCACGTGGTCCCCTGCGCCTGCCAGGAGTGATCCCTGAGCTCAGAGTCAGGAGTGCGCACTACCAGGTGTGTCCCCAAAACTCAAAGAAGATAAGAGAGAAAGAAAGAAAGAAAGAAAGAAAGAAAGAAAGAAAGAAAACTATAGTCTGGCTTAAATGTAGACAGAAGCATGTATCCTTTAAAACTAGTGAAAAATGTTTATATAGGTATAGTGTCATTGACTAAATGTATGTAAAAAGTAAGAGAAGTCTGAATGTTTCTCTTTTTAAAAATATCCCCAAAGTGTTACTGTGTAGCACATAAAATTAATCAAGAGAGGAAGCCAGTTCATTGAAGGCCTTGGTAGATTTCTGTAGCAGAGAGTTAATTATGAATAAAAAGCCTAGAAGTCAACAGAGCAAAGAAGGAAAAAAAAAGCCAAAAAAAGGAAAAGAAAAAAGTGCCAAGTTGTTTCAGTATTCCCAACAATTGACAAAAATTCCCTCAGAGCATGGGCACATTTATAAAACAACAACCTCCCCCCCCCCCCCAAAAAAAACGCTCAATGTTACATTTGAAATAGGAAACATACCCACACCCCCCACTGAACTGTTACAGTAAGTGAAATACTGTGACTGGGAACAATTGCTCCCTTGTTCTATAAACATTTAGGGAGATGCTACTGTGTATCTGGCACTGTTCTAGGAGCCTGAAGTGTAGCCACAAGCTACACTGGATTGCATCTCTGGGTCTTGGTGGAGCTGGTGTCTGACCACACGCAAGCCGACAGGTTCCAAGGCCAATCCTGTGCTCATGCGGGTGGGCAGCCTCCCCAGCAGTGCTTGGGGGGCGCGGGGTCACTTTGGACAATATTCCACCTACCTGGCTGGTTCTGTGCTAGGGCCCTGAAGTGCTGGGGGCTACTAGCTCACCCGGGCAGTGCTCAGGGAGGGCCAGGACTATATCCTCTGGCATTCAGGGGCCTTCACAGTGCCGGGAGGTCAGACCTGGGGCCTTGTGGATGGCTGGCATGCACTCCAGCGTGGAGCTCCACCTTCTGAATGCAGCAAACTCACTTACGGCCGGAGAGAATCACTTCCGTGGACTCTCCATATCAGACTAGCTCCAGGGTGCTGGGGAAGTGTCCCGAGGGACCCACATGGAGGGCTGCAGTGAACTCTGGATTCTCTGAGACTTGGATCCTTGGACGCAGTAGAATCCCTCCCCTTCCCCCACCTCCCACCCACACACACACACACACACACTCATGCCAAAAGACCAGCGCTGGAGGGGAAGCTGGGGACCCTCTCAGTCTGCTGCATGGCAGGCGCAGAGGTTCTGAGGAAAGGGCCTGTACCATGGGAGTCACAGTGGGAGAGCTTGCCACCTTCTCTGTCACATGTGGAGTCTGAGAGCCACACCAGCTGGTACTCAAGCATTGGTGCATGCTGATGGTCTCTGGGGCTATAGCCAACAGTGCTGGAGGGTTGTGCTTAATCATGTGTGTGTACATAAGGGCCTGGATACACATACACACACGCACACACACACTCTCTCACACACAGTGTCTCTGTGGCAGTTGTGTTTGCTGTTAGCTACAGCTGGCAGCGTGGCTTTATTCTGGCTGAAGCTGGAGTGACAGTCTGGCTCTCCTGGGCAGCTGAGGTTGGTGCTGAGATACGGAGAGACAGCCTGCTGGTGGGCAGACAGCAAAGCCGCGACATCTGTCGTGGCTGAACAGTGTATGGGGCAGACACCCCCTCACGCCCCCCCCTCCCCCCGCCTCTGCCTCCTGTAGCCTGATCAGGATGTGGGCGTGGTGAAGCTCCTGCAGCACCACCAGCAAATGCTGTTGGGCAAGATCCTGGTCTGGAAGGCCACAGGGCTTTCACATGGTGCAGGACTTTTCTGGGACTTTGGTGTGCTCATGTGTGGGGTCAGTATGATAGACAGCAGGGAGGGTGCTTCCTTGTACATGACTGGTCTGGGTTTGATCCCCGACAACTTATCGGGGCCGCCACCCTCCTCCAGGAGTGATCTCTGAGTGCAGAGTCAGGATTAAGGCCTGAGCACTGCTGAGTATGACCCCGAAACAAAAAAAGAAATATACTTGTGTGTGGTGAACTGGATCAAGCAGGGCTGGGGCTGGGTGTTTCCCAAATGCTGCATGTGTGTCTCCCCTGGCCAGCGTTCCGCAGATGCCTTTGGGGGGGTACCCGGGAAGGAGTGGGAGCACGAGGAGTGGGGATGTGGGGGAGTGGGAAGGTTTTGACACGTGACTGCAGTGTCCTCGCCATGCCTGTGTCTTGGGTTTCCTGGGACAGAGGGTGTTTGAGCTGGGTCCCGTGGGCTGGGGTGAGTGGCTGGGGGGAGGGAGGTACACAGCTCCAGGGCTCACCCAAAGGGAAAGGTGGGCTCCAGGAGAGGTCAGGGTTTGGTGAGAGAAGCCCCTGGCTCTCGGGTGGAGCCGGGGTGCCCGGCGCCTGCAGGGTCCGGAGGCTGCCATGGGCTTGGATCGCTGCCCAGGCTGCCCGGCCGGCTCTGGGGCGCAGCCTCCCCACCCTCCCCCAGACCACTGAACAAGAAAGGAACTCGGGCGAGGGCCCGCCCAGGCCGCCAGCGTCGGGATGACGCGGGCTGTAAATCAGTCCCTGGCCCACAGACCCAGTGCATCCCCACGGTCTCCTTTCCGCTTCTTAATCCTCCTCCTCAGACTCAGTAACAAAAAGCAGATTCCTGCCGGGGCCAGCCACGCACCGCGGGCTCGGAGAATGCGCGCGGGGTCTCACCACATCAAGACAGCGGCTTCCTCTCACTTTTCCTCCCCCTCCTCCATTAGCCCCAGAGTGCTCCTCCTCCTGGCCCCCGCTCCCTGCCACCCCCCCCTCCCGTCCCCGGGACCCCAGTTCCAGCTTTGCCCCAGCCTCCTCCTCTGGCTGCCTGCCCGGCCCGCGTGGCCGCCCCAGGCCCTGTGGTTAACCGGCCCTCCAGCCTCGCGGTTTGGCTCCATCCTGGCTGCCTGAGCGGGCAGAGGCTGCAGAGGAGTCACAGCTGGTCAGGCTGGAGTCAGAGCCTGCTACTGCCCGCTGGGCGCGGCTCCTTCTGGGAGTCTGTGATTGTCACCCTCCTCCTGCGGGGTGGGGGCAGGAGGGCGCTCCGACCCCCAGCAGGTGGGAAGGGCCCAGCAGATGTTTTGCTTCGAAAGTCAGCACTGAGCTGTTTGTTCAGGGTTGTCGCAAGAAGTGAAGTATTTGGAAGCATTTTCTTATGCGGTCCTGGCACCAGGAGCCATGGGTGCCTGTTCTGTGTGTTCTGTGACTTCCTGGACCCCTGCAAGCCTCTCCCCACCAGCTGACCCCCCCTTAGAACAGAAGCCCCTGCAGCTGCCCTGATCTCTCTCTCTCTCTTTTCTTTTTGGGTCAGATTCGGTGATGCATAGGGCTTACTCTTTGCTCTGCACTCAGGAATTACTCCTGGCAGTGCTCGGGGGACCATATGGGATGCTGGGAATCAAACCTGGGTCATCTGCTTGCAAGGCAAACGCCCTACCTGCCGTGTTACTGCTCTAGCCCCATGCCCTGACCTCTCTTGTTCCAGACAAGCACACCCTCCAGCCACTTTCCCGGGGAACCGGACTGAGACTTCTCAGGTCGCCACTGTGAAGATCTTGATAATTGTCAAACATGGGGCAAGAGTGATAGTACAGAGGGTAAGGTGCCAGCCTTGCACACGGCTGACCCAGGTTCATCCACGGCATCCTATATGGTCCCCAAGCACCACCAGGAAAAATCCCAGAGAATAGAGCCAGGAGTAACCCCTGAGCATCACCAGGTTTGCCCCCAACCCCCGTAAAAAAAGGTTGCGCAGGTTTTCAAATTATGTCCCTTAGCTCCTGGCTCTCAGAGGTGCCCCGGCTACATGCCAGAAGGAAGGCGTTAGGCTCTGGGCCTCTCTTGCTGTGCACCCCACGGTCGCCCAGACTGACAGAATTGTGTTTGTCTGTTTCCTGTGGAAAGGACCCACTGGTAAGGCTGTGGAAAGGAGCACTGAAAGGTTGGGAGAATATACAGCAGTTAGGGAACATGCCCATGCTTGAGCTGCAGCACTTCAGGGTCCCCCAAGCATCACAGGGTATGGAGACCCCAAGTGCCTTTGGGGTGTGCTGAGTGATCCCCGAGTCCACAGAGCCAGGCCAGCATGACCTGTTTGGCTCTTGCATTGAACCGCCAGCCTGTGTGGCTGAGAATCTCCTGTGGGGTCTTTGGGCTTCCCAAGCACTGCACTGAGCCCCCTTCCCTAATAAAAAAAAGACAAAAGTGTGCTTGTAAATGACAGACCTGGAACCGGAATGATAGCGCAGTGGGTAGGGTGTTTTCCTTGCATGCGGCCGACCTTGGTTCGATTCCCAGCATCCCATATGGTCCCCTGAGCACTGCCAGGAGTAATTCCTGAGTGCAGAGCCAGCAGTAACTCCTGTGCATCCAGGTGTGACCCAAAACAAACAAACAAACAAACAAAAAAAGAAAATGACAGACCTGTTCCAGCGACATCATTTTACGAAAGAGAGTAAGGATGGGAGAAGTTAAGTGACTGTCAGGGTGGGTTGCCTGGCTTTGTAGGTGCACCGGGCCAGTGCCTGGATGCTGGTGTGTGCTGTGGTCTGCGTGGCATGCACTCGCAGGAGCGGGGATGTCCACAGGAAGGGGGCTGGCCTGCCTCGGACACCCCTCAGAGGACAACCTGCTTAACGGTGCTCTGCCCGCACATCCTCAAGCTCCCTCTGTCCCCACTGCCCTGCCCGTCCTCCCCACACCAATGCCAGCACTCTGGAACTGGTCACTCCTAAGTCCAAAGGCAAGCTCCCTACTTCCTGCCCCCGCAATGCAGCCCCCTGTCCCTGGGAACCTGGTGAGAGGCGGGCGGGAGGGTCTCTGCTACTGGCCACCTTCTCCTTCCAGACACTGGAGTCGGGTGCAGTGGGGCTGCTTGTGACAGTGGCTTGTTTTTTTCAGGAGTGACCAGCGTGGCGTCAGACCACGGATGCTGCTGTGGGCCTGGTGTGCGGTCCAGCCTGAGGGAAGACGACGTTGCCCAACCCAGACTCATCGTTTCCAAGATGCTGCTGGCCGGGCAGCCCTGGCCTGTCAGGGTCGGGAGAGGAGCAGGCTGTCTCGTGTCCCTGCTGCCCTCCCGGCCACTCCATCGTCGCCTCTTCCACTTCGCACTTTGCCCCCTGGTGGGCAGGGGGAGAGCTTCGCCTTCCCCTGGCCTCTGCCCATGCCCTCTCTCTGGCTGCAGAAGTTCATTGCCAAAGATCTGACAGAGCTCCCCCCCCCCCCCCGGAATGTGGTGAGAAGCCCCCCAGAGAGAAGCCTCACCTCTCTGTCCCCTCCTGCCCCCTGTTCCTCGGGTCCCCAGACAAAGCTGAGTTGGTGACTCCGCCGGGAACTCATGATGAGATGGACATCTGGCCACCACTGGACGCGCTTGGCCCTCTGACCTGGAAGTCTTTCTACATGGCCTCTGAGCTACCTGGGCACAAACTAAGCCCGGGAGGATGGCAGCAGTGAGGCTGCGAGGCTGGAGGGATGGTCGCTGGGTGCCTGCTCTTCTCTTCCTCCCACAGAGCTCCTCGTGGTGGCGGGGTTGGGTCAGGGGCTGACACCTGGGACCACAGTCCCAGGGTTTGGCGCAGGGCCCTTGCCAGTGATCCGCGCTCCTGGCTGGACAGACAGGGACCTCGTGCTTGGAAGCGTGATACGTCAAGGCTGTGCAGAGCGGAGGCGGGGACCAGGGGAGTGGGCCAGTCTGTGGGGGAGCGGGCCTGCTCCTTCCTCATGCTCAGAGGCCAAAGCTGTTCACATCTGTGCTCAAACATCTGCTTCAAATTGAAGTAAAAGCCCCAACATGGAAAGAAAACACTTGCCTGTGTTGAGTGGACTCTGTGGGTGACTGTGATCGCACGGGTCAGCTGGCGCGGGCAGTGCGTGCGTGTTCGTGTGTGTGTGTGTGTGAGTGTGTGTGTGTGTGTGTCTGTCTGTCTGTCTGTCTGTGTCTGTGTTAGGGGGCCCTCACGACAACCTCAGCCTGCTTCACACCTCTCTTCATCCTCTCACGGGTTGGTAACACAAGGTTTTTTTTTTTTTTTTATCAGAAATCCCATCTTAGAGATGAAGAAACCAAGCGCCAAGGACACAGGCCAATTCTCAAATCGACAGCCAATTCTCAAATCAAGGTGGCTTCACTCTCAGTCCTTTCTGCCCCCCCCTTAGTGCAGTTGGAGCCCCAAGTTCCAAGTCTTTGTTGACCCTCTCCTGTCTCTTCACCAGGGGCACATGAGGGCCACAGTAAAGGCCCCTGGCATGGGGAAGGGCGGTAAGGAGCAGGATGGCAGGTCTGAGCTCAGCAGAGGCAGCGCTGGGCAGTTTTCTTGCTGCTGCTGGGCCCTGCGCTGGGCGGCGCTGGGGCTCAGGAGCCTCTTCCTTGGCACCGTGTATCTTGGCATCTCCTCTCTGTTTTTGTTTTTAGGTGTTTGTTGCTGTTGTTTGTTTTGGGGCCACACCTGGTGGTGCTCAGGGATCCCTCCTAGCGGGGCCTGGGGAACCATATGTGATACCAGGGATCAAACTGAGGTTGGCCAAGTGCAAGGTAGACACCTTATCCTTATCCTATCTCTGAGGTGTCGGGATGCGACTGTGGGACAGATCAGAGGGTCCAAAGGACACTGAATACTCCTCAGAGCAAAGCTTCCCTAAAAGCATCCAGGGCAGAGCGGGATTGGCATGGGACAGTGTGGGAAGTCAGTCATCGGGGACCCTGGCACAGGGCACAGCCCCATTCTACCTTTGCACTGTCACTGAATAGCCCTGCGGGCATCCCCTCGGGAAGCAGGTCACGGGACAAACGATCATCAAACGTATTGTCATAAAGGAGACAATATGGGAACCCCCCATATTGCTGCCACTGAACTGACCTGGGAATTCAGCACTAAGGACCCACCAGGCCCCTGGCATGTGTCCCCGCTGCTGTTCAGGCAGGCAGGCCAGGCTCCCAGGCCCTCCAAAGCATCTGCTGTTAGTCGCGAGTCCAACACTGAGTGAGGTGCTAGGAAGAGAGACAGAGCCTCGGGGGTTTCCTGTTTTCATCAGGCTCCTGGTCTGCACAGACAAATGAGTGGGTCAAACCGAGGCAGCTCCACAAGGAAGAAATCTGGAAGCTCCTTGAACCCCCTCCTTTCCCTTAGGAGTTCTTGGGAAGGGCCGTGCAGGAAAGGGGCCTTTCAAGCTGGGTGTGGAAGGATGGACAGGAGTTTTCTGTGCAGAAGAGTGAGTGCAGGGCTCTCTCCAAAGGGATGCTCAGCACTGGCAGGGCAGTGGGGCCACTTGAGTAGGTGATGAGATGGAACTGATGGAACATACTTAGCCCAACTTCCATCTCCAGAAAGTTTGGCATACTGGTCTGGTTGGGGTCAATCCCTGGGACTTTGGATAGTTCCTGGCTCTTGATAGATTTGAGAACCCTGTCCAGTGAAGACAGAAGGACAGAGACGAATAAAATGAAGGGAATAGAAGTTTATTGGGGCACGCTCCCAGGTGGAACCCCACAAACCTCAGGTGAGGCTGAGGTAGAGCCACGCTCTGGGAGAGACTAAGGGGGCTTGTAAATTGTCTTGGGCAGGGAAAGGGGAGAAGGGAACCAAGACCAGTGGAGCCTGTTCTCCATAGGGGATGGATGTGAGGAAGCCTGGGATGCAACCTGGGGCCTTCCTGTCACCAGGTGGGCCGTAAGTCCTGTCTTCCATGCTGGGGACAGGGTGATCTGATTCTGGGAATGTTGCTGTCTCTGATGAGACATTGGTTGCCATTTGGTCTCGGTTGCCATTTTGGCCGAGCAAAACCTCACAGTTCTAATGTGCAGGCAAGGTTGAGAGTTCAGCTTTCTGCCTGGAAAGTGATTTGGAATCACTGATACAAACATGTTTGAATATGAGCAACTGACAGCCCAGGCTTTCCTCTCCTTTCCAGCTTTTTCATGAGTATGGCAGCTTGCGTCCTGGTGCTCATACACACACACACACACACACACACACACACACACACACACGCACACGCACACGCACACGCACACACACATGCACACACATGCATTCATTCTGTCTTTCTAGGGTGCACACTTGCACGTTGCATCCCAGGAAGAGAGAGAAACCCAATTCCAAGAGATTTGCATTTTGGCAGGGTGGGGATGCTGTGCTTAGGGATAACTGCAAGGACCAAGGGCACACTCTGGATACAGGAGGCCTAGGCTCAATCTCGGGCACTGCATCGTCCCGCAAGCCCCACTAGAAGTGATCCCCAAGCACAGAACTGGGGTCAGCTCTTGGGGACCACCAGGTGCGTTACTCCCCACCCTTCCCCTCCCGCCTCTGCCACTGCCAAATTAAAAACCAAGTGGATTCATTGGCAGTCTTCTTGACTGTCTCCTGTAAGCAGCCATGCAAAGAGACCCTCTCCAGAATAGAAATCACGAAGGGCTGGTACGGGGCCTAACAGGATGGTTCCGAGCCAGGAGAGAGGCGTGGAGGGGTTTTCGATGCATGCTCTCTGCTTTGTGCTTGGCTCTGGAGTAGGCTCTGCAATTCTGGGGAGGTGGTTCCGTGAATCCCTGGACCCTTTCTATTGCTCCCAGTGATGCCTCGGGGAGCCTGCAGAGTTGGGGATCAATCGAGGCCTCCAGCCGGCAAAGCCTGTGGTAAGGCCCTGGAGCTTTGCCCCGGCCCTGTTTCTTTCTCAGGATGCACAGCCTGGCCAGAGGCCCTGGTAGACTATAGGTTCCCCATCTTTACTCCCTTCTGTCCCATGGTCATCACACCCTCCTAGGACCCTCCTCTGTGCCTTTCTAGTTCACTGTGTCCTCTGGGCCTCAGGCATCCTGTCTTTTTTCTCCTTTTTTGGTTTACAGTATCTCACCTTTGAAAGCAAATCGACAGATACTGCTCTGTCCTTTGCGAATAGTCTGGAGATCTGTATTCTATTGCTGTTCCAAAGCCAAAGCGCTAAGGAGGAAGGAGTGTGGATATCTATGTTCCAAGTCACTAGTAATCGGCTGACCCTCACCCCGCCCCAAAGACCCCATCCTCACCCACCTCCCCCTTTTGCACAAGTCAGTGAGGAGCTGGGGTGGTGTCGCTCTGGGCAACAGTCCTCTGTGTGACGGCCACGCTGGGAACTGGAGGTTCAGGCAGGCCCCTCATCAGCCAGCCTGTCCCCAGGCAGAGCCCCGCCAGGATGGGCCATACTGGGTCAGCCGTGGAGGGCTGCTGGGGGTCTGAATGGAGCTGTGCTTGTTCCTTTCCCAAGCTGCTTCTGGAGTTGCCCAGGGGCCATCTGGCCTGCTCAGGCCACATTCCCATGCCCATGTGCCCCTTCAAGAGACCGTGCTGGGGGGTTTGTCTCTGCCTCGTTGCTGTTCCCCTTTTGTGGCACAAATCGCTCCCTTCCAGACTTCAGGGGCACGAAGAGGTAGAGAGGACTCTTCCAGATGGGGCTAGGGGAGATGGACACGCGCATACCTCTCTCCTCCTCCTCCTCCTCTTCCTCCTCCTCCTCCTCCTCCTCCTCCTCCTTCTCCTCCTCCTCCTCCTCTCTCATGCACAAATACCCAGGTACGCACTTGGGTACCTGCCTGGGTCAGGAAAATTCACTGCGTAGATGCTGATGGGGAGGGAGGACCTGTTGCTCACCCTGGTTTCTCCTTCTCACATGTTCCTTTCTGATCCTCCAGACCCAGACAGTTCTTGTCTGCCTTCCCGAAGTCAGGTACCCCCACGGAATTTAGATTTATAAATAACGACTTTGTCTTCCAGATATCGGGGCCCACGCCTGATCTCCGGATGGCGTCTGAATTCCTAGAGGGCAAAGATTGGGTCTAATTCACCTCCAATTCCTAGGGGGGAAAAAATCTTGCTGAATGTATATATTGGTTTCTTTGTTGAATGAATGAATAAAAATGGAAAATATGGTAATTCGCTCATTTATTTTCTTCCTTCCACAAATCGCGAGCAAGAAGCTAATTTGTTCAAGACTGCGAGAGAATAGAACACAGACCTTTTCCCAGGGCTTAACAGGGGTGCCGGTCTGGGGCTGATGGAGCCTGGGCTTAGGGGGCCTTTCTGCTCTTTATGTGACGGACCTCTGAGATCGGAACTCCTGCACACAGGGGCTCTTCCCGGCCCATGTCACAGCCTGTCACAGGCCCTGGACAGCAGTGGAATGAGCATGTTGCGTGACTGACTAAATGTGGTGTTCTCCTAACCACTCACTTCAGGCATCACTAATCAGTGGCAGCTTTTTCTCCCAGGGCCGGAAGCTGCCTCAGTTCCTCATAACGCTCTAGGCAGAGGGCGTTCATCCACTGAAGAGATGTGGTCTCGGCTCTCCAGAGTTAGCTCTCAGGTCAGCTTTTCCAGGGCATCACGAGGTGACAGCACCGAGGCCGATGGTGGAGGGGAATGGTCCCATTGCCGCTCCGAGGACTGCGTGGTGGTCACCTCCAGCTGACCTCCCTGTCTTTGATGGGTTCCCAGGTGCTTCTTCTGCCCCTGTGGCCAACAGAACTTTATTTCTGAAGTCCCTCCGCAGGCCCCATGTCTCCTGGCCAAAGTCCAGGCTTTCAGGAGTCTGTTGGACTTGTCACAGCGGGTCCCGCCTCCCCCAGAGTCTCCAGCACCTCCCCCATGTCCAGGACCCCCACTTTGGCTCTCTAGGGGTGCTCTACCTCATCCTGAAGTACTACTAGCCCCCTCTCAGGCCTATCTACTTTCCTCTTCCTCTGTCAGCCCAAGAAGTAAGATTCTCCCTGAACCCTTGAGTCTGTGGCAGTGAAAGCCATTCTCTTTGAGTCTGACTCACCTTGG